ATATGGCGAAGCAACATATTTATGGATTTTTCCACTTCATTAGACCTAATTGGACTGATGCAACTTATAGGGCGGAGCGATGTGTACAGCAAAAAATCTGGTATTGTGCTCAAAACACAAACAGACAGAGGGCATTTCTATTGCCCCCTCTTCGCTCCGAGATGGTTGGACAAAACACTGGTACTGCAGATTTTACTGATTGATGATCGGCTCAGACATTTGAAACATTCATCAAAACGCAGCTGTAGACAGAAGTTTACATCTGCTCATCCTGGGAGTGAATGTCATGGAAACTTGTGGTTTTTAAAAACTGATTCGAACCATTCTTTTTCCAGGATAGAATGATAATGTGCCGTGCAACTTTAGTGATTTTTGAAATTAAGAATTAGGTGCATGTGTTTGAAATTATTGTGGAATTTATTAATTCCCACACAGTTTCCACATAAACTAGTCAGAACAACCCAGAAGAATTAAATTTTGGGGATTTGCGGCGGAGACGCTGGTGTCAAACATGAAGCTCTTTTGTCATTTAAAGTTGTCACACAGTTGGCATTTCACCAGTGAGAGGTTCACATTCTTTTTTCTTGTCCTTGAAGAAAAACACAGACTAAAGACTCTGTGCCAAACAAGTCTTGTGTTAGATCTCGACTCTGCGTGCTTGCACCGTCACAACAGTCGACTGTTCTTCAATCGCTGCTCTAGGGTTCATTCTCAAAATGTTCTTCTTGGACTAAGAAGTCAGCAATATGCAACGACTGTGATGACACACAAAATGATAAATTGAAAGAAATGACTATGTAAGTCCAACAGGATGATAATGTTTCACGCAAGACCCATGGGCTCCCCAACTGGACTGACGAGTATGAAATCAAGGTTTTTCTTCTGCTTGTCTTCAGGCTGATCCAAACAAATGCAGAAACAGACCGTTCTTTCATCCCAAAAACAGAAGTCCAAGGCTGCACTTCACAGACGTGGCTTCTTTTGAGCTCTGGCAACTAAGATCAGCCATGTCACACTTCTTGTGGAGACAGGAATTTAAAACAACTCATGTCAACAAACTGGAAGCGGCACATTAAATACTTCCACATAAATGATCATCCCTACTAACATTTGTTTTTCTGTTTAATGATCTATTTCCAGTCTACAGTGACTTTAGCACACATGGTCATGCTCAAAATATATTTGGTCTTCCATAATGTGATGAGTAAAAAATACAAAAAACTTAAAGACTGCCTGCACTGTGTCAAAACTTGCAATAAACCCAAGAGTCAGAATATATTTTGGATTAACCCGTATGAGTTGTGTTGTATGTTATGTTTTTCAAATGGGGCTTGTTTAACCGTGTTTCATGTTTACCGTGAGCTTTGAGTCTTGCAGGTTTTGTTCAAGTAAGACCGCATGTTGTTCGAAACATAATGGCAGCCATTATTTCAAATGTTCGTGTCATTAAATACATTTTCTTAAATTGATAAGTTGTTTAAATGGTCTTAATCTTTAAATTTTCTCTTTCTCTCTCAGGGAAGATGGCCGCTCTCACCCTCTCTCCATCCCTCCTGCTTTTTTCCTCTCTTGTCCTGTCAATCTCCTCAGAGCCTCTCTTTATACATCTTCCAAACCAAAAATTATTATGGATTTGATCAGCTGGTCTCTCAACGCAATTGATTTTTTTTTTCTACTAGACAACAGGATGCTGGAGAGCCCTCATGCCCTGAACGGACCCACGCAGCTGTGTATGTCACTGATTCCTGGAGTGAGTGGAAGATGTTGTGTCTATCTGTTCTGTCTGTGGAGGATGTAGACGTTGTGTACATTATTGGATTTATGATAACAGGGTTTCTGCTTTTTGGAATTGGCGGATTAGGAAGACATCAGCAGTAGTTTCGGTCATGGTAAAGCTGCCAGCCTTATGTGAAGGATTAATTTATGCCTTGAGCTCTCAGACTCATATGCTTAACAAGCTCAATCTCAAACTGGACGCGATTTCTGAGAATCGTGGGCCACTTGCGGCTCCTGGAACTCGCCAGCATGAAGGATTCGACCTTGGAGAAAGCTAACGAGCATGGAGTGGGTGGAATGTTCACTAATCTTGCTGTTTAGGTTCTCCATTGAGTGTATGAGCAGAACTGAAAGCAGACAGAAAACAGTCTGGCAGCTCAAACAATTGTTGTTTATCTGAATTTGGCCTCCCTGCTGGCCTTGGACAAGTCAACTTATCTCAAATTTCTTCTGGAGGTTACGTAAACTAGATAGATCTGCCTGTAATACCCCCCCCCCACACACACACACACACACACACACACACACACTGTTAGACTGATAGACACTGTACCATCATATCAGAACTTTGGAACTTTCTGGAGTGTCCACGGACAACTCACAGCCTTTGTTGACCTTGATGCATAAATGTATTATGATGTCATTGTACAGTATGTTTGCTGTTTATGTTGCAAGGTCTTTTTTGCATCTTTTACACTGTGTCCCAGCCAGGACATGGTGTGAGACATGATTTATTTTTTTTTTGGCTTCCTCCACCCTCGTGTTCTCTTTTTCTCATCTGCCTGTATGTTGTATGTAACAGGTTTATCTTGTAAATGAGTATTTGAGGCTCAATGGGATCTAACCTGTATAATAAAAGGTCTAATAATAATAATAAGAAGAAGAAGAAATAAGAAATATAATCTTGTTCTTGTTCTGTAATTTTAACCAAACCACAGTCATACTCTGTAACAGGTAAATAAAGCTCAAGATGAGTTGAAATACCTTATTAAGACAAAGTTATACATGTGTTCCTAGAATGAGATTAATTTTATTGTGCAAAACTTGCTTGTTAAGTATATAGTTTATTTTTAGGGAAAAAATTACTATAAACAAGGTTTTTTTACATTCTTGAAAATCATTTTTTGCAGTGTAATGAGTGTAATGCTGCACTCCGCACCTAAGCATCCTAAGCTCTCAGAAATCGGTTTCTCAGAACACACCATTGGTTGGTTTTGTGTGTGTTGTTTGCTTTTATTTTGTGGGTTTATTGTCTATAATTCTGTACAGCAATTTGAGCTGCTTTTGGTATGAAGGGTGCTTTATAAATAAAATTGATTGATTGATTGATTGATTGGTTCTCTAACTCTCTGTCAGACCGGAGGAAATGTGTTCAACATAATGGTACTTCCTCCAGTTATTTAACAGTCAGCAATGGTGTACCACAAGGCTCAGTCTTAGGACACACCCTCTTTACAATCTACATATGTAATGTAGGTAAAAACATCCCTAATGCATCCATACATTTCAATGCTGATGACACAGTTGTTTATTGTCGAGCTAAAATAGTTGAAAAGGCTTTCCAGCTTTTAAAATCTGCATTTGACATCATCCAGACAGATTTGTTCCACCTCAAACTTGTCCTAAATGCCAACAAAACCAAAGGGATGCTTTTTTTCAAATAGGAAGTTGGTCCCAGCAGTTCTTTCTCTGATTTCATCCTCAAATGGTGTCCCGATTGAGTTTGTTGATTCCTATAAATATTTGGATATCTTGGTCGACTCACATCTCTCTTTTAAGCTCCATGTGGAAAACTTGGTAAAAAAACTGAAAGTTAAACTGGGTTTCTTTTTCAGAAACAGATCCTGTCCAACTCTGAATGCTAGGAAACACCTTGTATCTGTGACCTTCCTTCACTCCATTGATTACGGTGATATTATTTCCATGAACGCTCCTACAAGAACCCTGCAGATGTTGGATGCTGTCTATCATGGTGCACTAAGATTCATAACTGGCTGTGATTATCATACCCACCACTGCACCCTGTATTCACTGGTGAACTGGACATCATTAACTTCATGCAGTCTCTCCCACTGGTACAATTTCATCTTTAAATCACTTCTTGGTCTGCTGCCTTCATACATCTCCTCCTACATGTCTCTGCGTGAGTGCAGTTACAGCGTGCGCTCTCAGGACATTATTACCTGCAGTGTTCCCTCAGTGAGGACTGAACTAGGCAAAAGGGCCTTCTCCTACTCCGCTCCTGTTTCCTGGAATATCTTACAAAAAGATTTGAAGCTCTCGACCTTGACCTCTCTAAGTGGCTTTAAGAATCTGTTGGACTCCTGGCAGGGACCAATGCAGACATGTTCCTGTTTTTAGTTTTCTACATTCGCCTTAGAATCTAGCTGTTTTTTGTTACTTTTCTTTTTTTTTAGCCATCCTATTTGTTTTAAAAAAATCTGTATGACTTTTTATAACTGTTTATTGTTGTCGCTGTTGTCCATTGTTGTCATCATTCTTTGTTGAAATCAGGTCTCTTGTAAATGAGTCCTCGAGGCTCAATGAGACTAACCTGTCTAAATAAAGGTTGAATGAATTAAGGCGGTAGTTCAGATATTTTAAAGTGTAATTTGTAATAGAGTTATGAAAAAATAACATCTTACCCATTGTAAGATGAAATACTTCAGTTTGTAATACAAAGTAGTAATTTTATTTTGATCAGATTGTTGGCTTGTTAGAGCAAAGTGGATTGCTGTTGTCTCGAAAAACTTTACTCTCGAAACTTTATTGAAAAACCTTTACATTGAATTTAACCTATGTTGCTGAACTACAATTCTCATAATTTGCATGAGAAGATAGCAGAGGCAGCTAGCTGTAGCCCTCCTCGGGTACTTCCTGCAGGATTTTATAACATCTCTGCCAAAATAATCAAAAGTGATGCAAAGATTTATAAAATATTTGCTCAAACTCTTAGAATATTTGAGATTGGTGAATTGGCAGCTAATCTGAGTTGAGTCAGGATCAGATTGGTGTAATTTTAGCACATCTCCAATCAGTTTAGCTAGAATTAAATTATGCTTCTTTAAACGCAAACCCCTCTTTACCGGATCGTAACCATCACTTTAGCATCCACACATTTTCACGTATCTGACACTAAGTGCAGATTTTTGTGCATTTCAAGGACACACATTGCAAATCTGATGGAAATGTATGCAGTGAAATGATTCAAGAGGCGGACTCACAGTCTCTCCAGCTCCTTCAGGTCCTGAAAGGCTCCTCTTTCGATCGTGGTGATTTTGTTCTCCATTAACTGCCTGCGAGAGAAGCAACAAGAGAATGTGAGACTGATGGGCCAAAGATAGGGAGATACGTGGATGGGCGAGGGGAGGAAGAGAAGGAGCAGAGAGGCAAAAGGATGAGAAGAAAAGAAGACAAGTAGATTGGTAAAGCAGGAAAGTGAGAGAATGTTAAAACAGCAACAAAGACAATCAGCAGCGGGTCGATCGAGCCTCAGCATCGACTCTAAAAGTGGTCCATCAGTCGGACAGCGACTCATCCATCATCCAATTTACTCTCTCTAACCACGGAGCTGTGAGCACTCATTCACTTACAACTCTCCGGGACCACCGAGCTAACCAAGTCCAACGCATGTTTCATATATGCTGCGTGCACGAGCGCACACTGAACCGGGCCCTGGGGAACCCACCACGAAGGACTGAGACACGCAGGCTGAGAGAACCAACACAACACAAATTCTGCAACTATGAGTTGTCAGCGTCTAACAGATGCTTTGCTCAGTTTTAATCACTGCATGGTCCTTTTGAATCTCTTAATAGCCGTTTGTTTTTTTTTCTGTCACTGAGAAACAATTTTTTTATTATTTTACAGATTATTGCAATTGTTTGGTGCTCCATCTGGAATTGATTTGCATCTAAGCTTATTTTGTGTCTTTCTGTTGTCACTTTGCATCTCTTGGTGGTTGTTTGGTGCCTCTAATTGCTCGTTTTTTGCATCTCTTTTGCATTTATTATATGTCTTTGGTGACATACTTTGATTACCATGCACCTCGCTGGAATAATTTTTATGCTATGTTGTTTTTTTGTATCAAAGTATTTGTTGCATTCCTTGTTATGAATATATGTATCTATATATCCTCCAGGTTTTTTTTCTGCTTGTGTTGTGTCAAAATCGGACTCTTAATGTCGTTTTACAGATTAGAATGGTTTATTTGTATGTACATCAGGTGTAAAATGTATTGATCTTTATCTATTCTTGTCAAATTTTGGTTCTTATTTGTCTGTTTGTGCCATTTTTGATATAGTATGTTCCAAATTGGCCAAATTATTCAAACCTTTACATTCATTTAATTTAATTCATGGAAAACAAGGAGATGCAGCAAAATCTGAAGCTCCTGAATAAGAGTGACAGCTCGAGGTCTTTCATACGTAAAACCCAACATTAGACAGATAATCATGAAAAAGACCAGAAGATAAAGAAGACAAGTCCAAGAAATCGAACCGAAACACGACAGACCAGCAACCAACAGAGAAACCATAGCTCTTAACTACAGGGAATAATCCATGGAAATGAATTCAGACCAGGCAGTGAGAATCAGGAAGTACTCCTTCAAAATAAAACAGGAAGCAAGAACCAGATGGAAACAACTGGAACTCGAGAAACAAAACAAGAATATAAATTTTAATAAAACTGTGCTGGTCTCTGGCATCGCTTATTGTTATGGCTGTTTCTGTTTATTCAGTATTTATTTATCGACACATTGTTTTATGGGTTCCTTCATCTGTCTGGTATGCATGTCTCTCCCCGCAGATTTATTACATTTTCATTTCTTCTTCCACGTGCAGTCATAAATAAACAAACTCCTCAGAAGTTTGTCTTTGATTTGTTTGCAGCAGCATAAAAAAAGTTCAGAATACTCAGACTTTGCCCTGAAAAGTCCAAGTGAAACGATATTAGTTCAACAAAAACTGTAAGACAGTACTCATAAATCCACTCTAATCTAATTAGGAATATCCCCCCCACCACCACCACCACCACCCACACACACACACTCCATGAGCAGCCTGCCACAGCAGTGAAAAGTGAGGGGAACTCTGAACCTGGATCGATCTCAGGTAAAAAAAACAAAACCTGTTCTTACTTAACATCTCTCCTCTCCTATGCTCTCCTCCACTCTTTTCCTCCTCTCCCATGTCCTCTC